GCTTTACACTAACTGGCGCAGGATTGGACGTAGTTGGAATTGTAGGACTCAGAATACGGTTAGTATTACAAAAATTTCCCACAACCTTTTTCGTTTTCTGCAACTTCTCATCTTGACATTTAGCCAAGTCTATAGCCCTTTGTAAACTCTTTGGTCAAAACATTCGCACCTTAACTGCTATTTCTGCCTTTAGTCCACCCATAAAAGCACCAAGAGGGGCTTTCTTTTGACACCCTGTCACTCGGTTAGCCAATTTCTCAAACTCCTACAAATACGCCCGAAAAGAACCTATTTGTGAAATCTTACTGAGTGCTTCATCATAATCTTCAAAATCTGTTGGCCCAAAATGACGGAGAATTCCTTCCTCAAATTGACGCCATGAAATGGTCTTCCATAGTGGGAACGATTATACCATTGCCACCATTGATTTGCCTCACCTTCTAAATGAAAACAAGATAACACCACCTTCTTCTTACCCAAAATCTCCTGAGTAGAAAAATAATGCTTCGTACGATCAAGCCAAACAATGGGGTTTTCTCCTGTAAATCGTGGAAAATCAAGTTTCACCCGAGAATGCATTCGTATGGTCTGGGGCTTATCTTTCTCTCTGGCGTTACCCTCCTCTGAACTTGTATCAAATGCTTGACAGGAAAAAGACATTTCACTCTCACCCTCAACAGAATCAACTTGCTCAGAATCCTCAGAGTTCGAAGAAGACGATCGTGACCTTTTGGAAGACTTACGATGAAGCCCCTACGATGACGATCATTCTAACTTGAGAAATGTGTTGTGCTAGAAACTTCTCACCCAAGGCGGAGCTGCACGCATTACAAGTACTATCATTAGCCACAAACCTTAAATGAAATAAGAAAAGCAGACTGCAAGAGCTATTCTTATGGAAAACGCACAAACCTTTTCAAGTGGGAAATGTGTTGCTTTACAGCAAAACACAGTTTAGGACTGCCTGTCACAAAAAGTTGGCGCAAGATATCCGGTTTCTCCTCTCCAAGGCCCTTCTCAAACTCATTTGTCTAGGTAGTATGCAGATGCTTATGAGAATCAACTCCATAGAATCCTTTAGTTGCCATGTGATGTAGTTTTGCTTTCTGAAATAATTTCATGGTCAACATAGTAGTTTTCCCTGTACCTGACCGAGCAAGTATGAAGGTACTTCTAGGAAAAAGAATCATCTCCAACTATTCATCTGTTACTTCAAATGGAAGATCTAATTCTCTACCATCACAATCAGAAAGTAGGTGGTTCACTACACCTGATGATAAAGAGTAGAATTTCATCTGCAACAAACTATCAATCACCTTTGAATTCTCAACATAACTCATACTGTTTGAAGCAGTGTTTGTTTTTGTGATGCTAGTTATTCAAAGAAGAAGAGAGATAAAAAACTAAAACTGGACATCAATTTCATTAGACAAAATCTGCATATAACATACTTCTCCTCACTGTTTCAACAACCATCAGAATACTTTTCCTTAATCTCAGCTAAACCACTCAAAATACTAACAACTTCATTACAAAAGAGCTGAGCCAATAAATAAAGGATTAACATTAAATTACAGTAAATCTTAAGCTANCCCCATATTTTCCTTTTTTAAGTCGATGATGAAGATCAATTACTAGATCAGCAATATCAAAATCACCATTTTCCATCTTCACTCTCTCATAGTTTTGAAATATCTCATATATCATGTCTCTCTTTTGCCTACTTAAAGTAGAAACTCTACCCTCTGATAATTGGACATAGTCTTCTTGACTCAGTTTACCGTCACCAACCTCCATGGATCGCAGGCCTCCTTTTATGTGAGATATAATCTCAGTGAAGACTCTTGAAGAATCAAGCTTCTTTGTCAGTTGTTCATTAAAATGTGGCCAGTAAAATCTACTAAACCTGTCATAACTAACTTCCTTTGTCCTCATAATTGTGTATAAGGAATCTGATCTTAAACTCTGACTTTGGACATCAGAATGTTTCCTTATGTCATGGAATCTCTCAAAATATGAATTGCCCATTGTTCCATCCAGCATCATCAAGAACTTATGAAATGTTAAAACAAGAGGGTATGACTTAGGTGGAATGTCTACAAAAGAATTTGGGATATCTTTGAATTGCGCTGCATCATCAATATCATCAATATCAAGCAAA